GGGACATTAGAAACTAAATACAATCTACTATCACCATAATGTCATCAGAATACATTAACATAAAAATGACAGAATTTCAGTTTTATAAAGGGTAGTCATTTTATTAAACAAATTTAGATTCACCTCATTATATAAAAATACATAAGATCTAAATGTGAAAAAGTAAAACTTTTAAAACAAGCTATCACAGAATCCATCACCTCGGGATAAAAAAGATTTCTTCATGATCAAGAGTGCGAGCTCTGAGCAACAGTGGTTCAATTCCTGACCCGAGCTGAGCTGTCGCTGAGCTGCCAACAGGTGGCAGGATGGCTCAGCTAAAAAAAAAAAAAAAAGATTTCTTCAAAGAGAAAAAGCACCATCATAAAAGAATAAATTTGACATTAAAATTAAGAATATCTGGTTATCAAACGGCACCATATTTAAAGTGAAAAGGTATGCTAAAGACTAGAAAGATATTTGTAAGGTCTACCAAGTATTATTATCCAGAATATATGAAAAGCATTTACAAATCAATAAGATAAACCCCATAAAAAAAAACAAGTAAGCAATTCACAGAAAAGGAACATGATTAGCTAGAAAATAAATGAAAGTGTTCTCAATTATGGATCTAATTGGGGAGGTGCCAATAAAAAAGGCCAAGTGGCGCGTTGGTTAAGAGCTGGCTTGGGACTCCAGAGAGCCCTGGTTCGGATCCCTCATATGAGGGCCAGTGACACTGCCCTCTACAGCTAAGATGGTGAACAACAGCTCAACCTGGAGTTGGGCTGCCTTGAGTCACCACCAGCAAGGGCATGGGCTGCAGCCCCTGCTGCAGTGGGTTGCCATGGGCTACCATGTAGCCAGCAGCCAGTGTGAGCGGCCGTCCAGAAGCCGGCGACTGATTGCCTCGCCTGGGAAGAACTTGGGCCAGTGAAGCAACATCCTCCACAACTAGACTGAAGAGCAAAAGGACAGCAACTTGTCTGTTCCCCTTCCCCAATTACCCAATGCTGTTCCCTCCCCCAATTCCCCAATAAAATCTTAAACAAAACAAAACAAACAAACAAACAAAAACTACAATGAGGTACCATTTCATACTCCTCAGGATGGCAAAACTTAAGAAGTCTGAAGTATTTGGAAGGTGGGGAAATTAGACCTTCTCACCCATTCAACTTTATTAAATAACTACCAGTTTTCTATCCAAAGTATGTTTTTCTCCCGAGTGTTTTTGTCAGTAATAACACACGCTTTGGAGAGAAAACTGGTAGTTATTTAATAAAGTTGAAGCAGCAGCATTTACCTTGTGTTCTAGCAATCTATTACCAGATTTATATCCCAGGGCAATCTTTCTCAATGTTGGCTTTTAGTTGTTAAAACAAATGGGGGGCACTATTTATTTAACAGGTTCCAGGGATGCCAAGCACTCTTGGTGCCTGTAGATAATGCTGCCCACGTCCATGTCTTTTGAATATTCTACTGGACACTCATTTGAGGGAACAGGGGAAAAAATAAGGTCAGATATTTATAAACAGGACTTAACACAAAGTATATTTGTGTTGTTTTTAATACAGATGAAGATTTTTAAGAATGCAACCACCATGTAAAGAGATAAGACCGCACTTTTATTTTTGTTCAAACTCGACTGAAAATAGGTTGTTATTTCAGAAACTCATTTATCAACAACAGTGCCACCACTGGTATTTGAATAGCCAATTCAACACAACTGTTTTAACCTGCTTTATTGGCTGTCCTATTCATGGTGATACTTACCTGACTACTATTTGTTCTAGTTGTGCTTCTTAGACTTTAATGTGCACCCAAGTCACCTGGAAATCTTGTTGAAATTCAGCAGCTGAGTTAGTAAGGTAGGAACTGAGCTTCTGATGTCTAATAAACTCCCAGAATTCTGATGTAACTGGTCTACTACCACGCTTGGTAGGCAAGATTTAGAGTGTGGTTGAGCCCCAGCATTTACACAGTGAAATATATTATTTGTTATAAATTACCTCTTATATTTTAGTAAGGGTATTGCTTTCTTTAAAATGTTAATGTAAGTTTATTATTATACATTTTACTTTAGTACAGTATTGGAAATGTTGCAAAATATTTCTATAAAAATGAGATAAAGGGTCAAGAACCACTGCCCTAGACCTAAGTAAGCATATACAAGAATATTCCCTACAGTACTGCTTAATAAGCAAACAATTGGAAACAACTAAAATGACCAACAGAAACCTGATACAGTCACATAATGGAACACATATCATATTGCAGTAAAAATAAAGAAACTAGGAACTACCTGAATAAACACAGATAAACCTTGGCAAGTTGAGTGAAGAAAGCAAGCTACAGATACAAACATCATATTTAAATAGTCTTAAAACAATCAAAGGAAAACTATATAATGTTCATGGATATAAAGGTATGTAGTAAACTATAAACATAATGGATAGGAAGTGTGTATGTCAATTTTGGGTTAATGGTGTGGAGTGGGGAAAAGGGAGTAGGATCTAAGGAGGGGTACATATAAAGTACTATGAGGAAGTTTCATTTTGTTTTGTAGTTTTGTTTCTTCAAATTGGTAATGTGTGCATGAATATTCATTATATTGTATGTTGCCAATAGTTGCATTGCTATATTATTTCCCATTTCACCTGAATTGGCAAAAAACTTTTGGGACTAGACAGATGTTTGGAAAACACTGCTCCAGAGCAAAGGATTTAGGACCAGATGTCAGAAAACCCAGCTTCAAGTCTCAGTTCTGCTTCTTACAAATTGTGTAGCTTTAGGCAATTCAAATCATTAACTTCTCTGAGCTTTATTTCATCTGTAAAAAAGTCATAAAACAGCACTTTCCCCCTCCAACTCACAAGACTGGGTTTGAGAAGCATATAGAGCAATATATGTGAGAAACTGTTACCAGAGTAGGAAAGGTAGAGGAGTAACTTTTGAGAATAGCAAATCCTTGGCTTTATTAGAAAGAAAACCTACCAGTAAATAAACCAACCAAGTTAATCTGTCACTCTCTTTTCTTGTCATCACTGACTCAAAAGATATAACACCAGTCTTAACATGTTAGAAACTTTAGTTTATTGATTCCTAAATGGCATATAGATAGGTATTCTCCCCATTAGAACTATGATTTGTTATGCTAATTCTTCACCAAGAAATTGAAATTCATAATACCAAAACAAAACGAGGATTGCACTAAAAAGTACTCTTATATAACTAAAACAATCAATGTCACATAACCAGAGTAACTGTTGGTTTCATTGCCCTTTCTATCAAGTGAGCAGGTGGCATGTTTTATTAGCCCTGTATTACAGATGGAGAAACTGACTCAGATATGGGGTAGCTTGCCTGGAGTTGTACACCAGTTCAGAGACAGAACTTGAAACAGACACTGATTGCCTAGTTCTGTGTCCATTAAGTTACCAAAAACATTATTTTGCCATGATGCTTCATGGTAATTCTGTCTGTCAAAGGGAAACAGAAAATTCTTTGTCAGCTGTCATACCCATTTCAAAATGGGCAAAGATACTCAAGGAAACAAGCCACTTATCAACTACAGTTACCGTTCAGCGAGTGACAAAATTAAAACTGCCTAGGCCTGCTAAAAATCTAATCTCATTTTCCCCAATTAACCTTATTAATACTAGAGTAGGAGAAAAAAGAGGTCAAATTATGGGTAAGGGTGCTATTCATTTCCTCCTGGATCTCAAATAATATTGCAATCATTGCATAACAAGGATTTTATACTTTTTATTATAGGAAACATGGCTATCTCCATTTAAGTAACCCACCACACCTACTTCCCAAATAAAAATTTACTACCAAGCCAAGAATTGGGCAGTCTCAAATTAGACCACTGTAATTATGATAATCATCAAAACATTGGCAATGATTAGATATAAGATGTCACCCAAATGAGTTTATGCTATAAACAAATGAAGAGACAAACCCTTTATGGAGAAAAGTTCGTTTTAAGTCTCCCTGTTAATGTAAACAGATGGGATCTTTTTACTCAGACTCATTAGTTTCAAATGCTGACACAAGATCTCCAAAGTTCTTTTTATTAATTAGAGCCTTTTAAAAAATTCAATGAATAATCTTGAGGATCAAGTATTATATATCACAAATATTAACAAATCATAAACAAAATTTAAAGGTCACCCTCTCTGTATTCCGTTATGCATCCTTTTGCTTACCAAATCCACCTCGCAGACTTAAAGCCTCGTTTAAAAAAAAGTGTGTCCCGACACTGGCAGAAATCTCACCATGGATCACATGAACACTTTTTTTTTTTTTTAAACAAGAAGCAGGGGTTAAACTCTCTTTATAAAAGCCCTACACGACAATACAATCTAACTTGGTAGAACTTTCGTTCTATCAGAATTAAAAAAAAAAATTCCAAACACAAACTGATTTTTTCCAATTCAAAACTCGAAAACAGGTAAAATTAAAGTTCAACCATTTAGAGAAAAGGAACCCTACGGCCCGACAAGATTACACAAATCACCAAGCACCGGACAGGCTCAATCTCACATCGAGGCTGGCACACGAGGACCTTCAGGAGAGAGCTTGCAGGCACCGCGAGTCTCACAGTGAGCCAGCGATGGGAATGTGAACCTGACCCCATATTTCGGTCTCCAGGGAGAAAAGCAAAGGAAGTGAAATGAGACCCTCCTCGGCAAGGAGGACTCAAGACCTTTCCCAGTCCGTCTGTCCGTCCCTTCCCTGCCCCCAGACTCCCGCAGCCTCACGGACCCATGGGGACCCTACTACCTACCTCCCTCCTTCACAGAACCACTGGAGAACCCTCTCCAAAACGCAGACCCGATCGGAAGTGGCTTCCCCGCCTTTCCCCAGAGTCGAGTGGGATCCCGGTCGCCAACAACAAAGACGCCTCCCTCTCCCCTCCCCCCGTCCGGCTCCGTCGGGTCCCTCCCGCGCTGCGGCTGCCGGCCTAGCGCCCCCTCCCCGAGCCGCAGCGCCCCAGCCCCCGCGGCCCCACGCACCTGCACCTGAGGGGCCGCAGCCAAGGTGTCAGGCAGAATGGGCCGGATGAGAACCTCTGCCGATCCGCTGTCCTCCACAAGGCGCGATTCGTGCTGCCGCCACCGCCGGACTCTCCCGGCCTGCGGGCGCAGGGACGAGGGCTGCAGTCCCCCGCGCCGGGGCGAAGAAGGACGGCAGCGCCCCAGAGGGCCGGCTCGCGCTCCCGAGTCTCGCCTCCCCGCGCCGGCCCTGCTCTTCCACACGGGCTCGCGTTCTGCTGACTAACGGCCCCGGCGCGAGGCGCTGGAGCTCCCGCCGCCGCCGCCAGCTGCTCTCGGGCCTCAGGTCCCGCGCGGCCGTGGTCGCAGCCGCCGCCGCCACCACCTCCCTTTCTGGCACTGCAGACACCACCCAGACCCAGCCAGGTCTTTCTTCTCTTTGATTCTCCTTCCTTTGCTCCTACTCAGCCTGCCAGCCGCGGGGCTCACTCTCGTAGCGGGAGGGCAGCTGGAAGGGAACCGAGGGGGGCCCGCAGAAGACTCGTTAAGCCAGGCGGAGTTGGTCACTGACTGGAGGAGGATGCCAAAGCTGACCCGGGCTCCAGCCTGCGAGCGGGCCAGGGGAGGGACGCAGCCCAGTTTAGCCCGATTTCCACCAATCACAAGCCTCCTACTGGAGTCGGCGCCGAGAGAGGCTGAGCCGAGTCGGCAGGAGGCGGGGATTGCGGAAAAGAAGAGCCAATAGAAGTAAAACTTCCCCGCCCCTCCGCCTTGATGGACTGCCACGTTCGGACCAATGGGGGAATTCTCGCTTCGAAGAAAGCGGGATTTATATGCCGGGCTGGAAAGAGAAGTTGTGCGGAGCGGGCAGGGGTCGAGAGTGGCCTGCGTGCAACAGCCTTTTAGTTGCTGAGAGGTCGGAGATCGTTCCTTGACCTCCGCGCGGAGTCACATGGGCTGACAGGGGAGGGGTCGGAAAGGCTGGATAAGCTCCTTCCGGGTCAGTGACAGAGCCGTCAGCTCCATGAGGTAGTTCTTTGCGCCTTGGGCTTCCCTTCATCTTCCTTCTTTCAGCGCGTGTTGATTGTGGTTTCGGCGATGAGCTCGCAGAAAGGGAACGTGGCCCGTTCCAGGCCTCAGAGGCACCAGAATACGTTTAGCTTCAAAAATGACAAGTTTGATAAGAGTGTTCAGACCAAGGTAGGAACCTGCCTGTTGCACTAAATCTGACTCCAGGAAGGAATAGTTCAGTGGAGGGGAAAGAGGAAATGAGAGGAGTTGGCGAGGGTGAGTGTGGACCGCAGCCCAGAGTTACTTTTGGCTGCAGTGCAGCCCTTTCTAAAATGATATTCTCACGCCCTTTGTTTGGCCTGAATATGTTGTCTCATCGTAAATATATTTCGCGGTTAACAATTAACTAATTGCACAAACAGTGAATGGGACCCTCATCAAACCTGAAATGCAAATGGGGAAATTGAACGCTCCCATCTGGACCACATATTTGCAGTGAGAGCGAGGATTATGGCACAAGTGTCTCTTTCAAATTTTGTACCAAGTTTATGCAGCCATATTTATTTGGGGGAAACCCTAAGCCCATAGGTTTGTAGGGACAATGTGAAGGATTAAGCGCTCTTGGCCCCAGTGTCCAGACAATGGGAGTGTGTCTCTTTTGTAAGATTGTTTTGAGGATCAAATCGTTTGATTAATGTAAAAGTTCCTGTTTTGCTTTTTATAAGTCATTTACTTGTTTAGCAGGATTTCTGTAAACTGGTAGAAAATTCACACTGTCTAGATAGCCAGAGGTCTTGGGTTGTATACAACCACTATTTTGCTGTAGGTGCCTGCCTCTCCAACCTTTCCATCGCTGTGAAGAGGAGATAACTTAAGACAAACTAATCTTGAGGGCCACTGTCAATCACATCAGATAAACATGATATTCACATAAACTAGAGTTAAAATTTACTAGGTGTGTGGCTTAAATTAGTTATTTAATATTTAATTTCTCAGAGCCTTACTTTGGTCTCAAATGAGAAACCTGGAAGGATTATTATGAGGCTAAACTATATGACATATATAAATGGTCTAGATCATAATAAACATCCAACAATAATTAATTTCTCAACATTGAGAAATTAATGTGAAAGCAAAGTTAACTTTTTTTGGGTTGGTTTTTTTAAAGATTTTATTGGGGAATTGGGGGAGGGGAACAAACAAGTTGCTGTCCTTTTGTTCTTCAGTCTCGTTGTGGAGGACGTTGCGTCACTGGCCCAAGTTGGCACCATCATTGCACTCTTCCCGGGTGAGGCAGATCGGTTGCCGGCCTCTTGGCAGCCACTAATGCTGGCTGCCAGCCACTCAGGGTAGCTTATGGCAGCCCACTGCAGCAGGGGCTGCAGCCTACCCATCGCCAGCGACTCCCGGCAGCCCAGCCCCAGGTTGAGCTGTTGTTCACCATCTTAGCTGTAGAGGGCGCAGTGTCACTGGCTCATGTGGGATCCGAACCGGGGCCCTGCTGCTCAGAGCTGGCATCCCAAACCAGCTCTTAACCAACGCATGACTCTGACGACTCTGCCGTCCCCGCAAAGTAAACTGTTTATGGTAACCTTTGGTCTCCATTTCCTTTTCTCTTTCTGCCTTTAACTACAAATACTTAATGTTCATGTGCAAAGCTCTGTGCTCAAGTGCATACAGTATTAAAAAGAATTGACTGTCTTCAAGTAGCTTATGGTTTCCTGGCTAATTGGGCCATAAGCAAGCACAAAGATATAATTATGGATTATGATAAATTCTGATGAGGGTGAAGACAGTTCAGTAAAGAAGAGTAAGAGGTATATTTTCCATTAGGTGCTCAGGGGACCTCTTCTTTTCCTTAATTAGGTTCAGATTCAGAAAGAAAACAGGAGCAACATTTGGGAAGACTTTCCCGAGGTTGTGCCTATTTACCAATAGGTAAACCAGTATAAAAAACAAACAAACAAACTGTGCTGTTCCCAATAGATGTCTATCTGGTCCTGTATTCTTACTCTAAGTTTTGGTACAGGCATTTAATTCTGATTGTTTTTCATCTTGGTGTTACTCTAACAGCCATATCCTATCTCCTCCAGCCCAGAGATATACTTTAGGGAATGGTCTCAGGTTCAGATAATCTCTAATCTGAGTACCTTTTTGTGAGTAATGAAGCATCAGTCATGGGAATAAATGTTATTTCTCAATCAATGGGTTTCTATAATTAAGGGTTAAACAAGTGGATGGCCATTGAACACATTTGCAATTGGGTGGATATGAAATCCACTGTGGTTTCAAGGTAACCAGCTCTGGCGCTCTAGAGATCACCTGGGACTGCCTTTGATTTTTTTTTTTTTATATTGATATTTTACCAATGCTGTCTATTAAGTGGATTTATGTTAAATGACTTGTTGCTAAATGAAACGTACTTCTTCAGTTGACAAAGTGACTTAATCTCTGGTGTGGTGGGCTTACGACATACAATAGAATGTTATACCAAATAAAATTCATAGTGCTAGTGAATATTCACTGTGGTGAATATTTTGAAGTATTGTATTCTCTGTTATTTGCCTCTTATATTCTCTCCTCCCTTTCACACAAAATATGGGTAATTTCATCCATGCTTGGTATATTCCATATACCTACATTTTCAAGGTGCTTTCACTTGAAGCCAGTAAATCGATTCTGCATGTTTCTTAATGTTGAGGCCTGCTACAATATAATTGTTTTTTCCTACCTCAATCATATATTTTAGACATTTCATTTTATGTGCAGTGAATGACAGCTGACATTGATTTGCCTTGATTCGATATGCTTGTTAAGGAATAGTATTGGGTTGTCAGAGAAGTCATGATGTATTTTTGCAACTAAAAAGAAACAAAATACATCCTGACTTTTCCGACAACCCAATACTATTGTCTCTGTTAGGTTATGAAGTTTTATAATTCCATTGTCAATACTTGTTTCTACATAAAGTTAAATGTTGTAGTATACTGTTAGAAATAGAGTATTCTCAGAATTTTTCATCCAGGTAAATTAGGTCACCTGAGATAGAGAAAATCATAATTTATATTCACTCTCCCCAAAATGGGTCGCTTTCCCTTTAGAGAAACACTAGCAGGGAATGGTGCAGTTAGACAAAGAACCTCAGGGCTGAGAGTTACAGGCTGCTGTGGTATTTGTTATTTTAAGCTGAAGGACTCTTTTCGCACCTGCACAAGTGTTATTATGAGGTCACAGGCAGTTGTACAGAGAATCCTGTCTGTCCTCAGAACAACCCTGCTGCCCGCCTACTCCATCCTCAATTGTCCTTGCTCTTTTTCTCACCATTTACTTTTGTGAAAGGAAGAAATGGAATGAGAAGGGGGATAAAGGAATAGCTAACATACCTAAGATTCCTTTCTGAGATTTTCCTTCTCACTCTAGGCCACATAGCACTTAAGTGTATTGAATGAATTAAATAAACATTCCTTTTCTGAACTTGTCTGATGTATGCAAGGCCCTGTACATGAGTGTAATTATTAGGATTCCTTAGTTGCTAACTTAAGCACAAACGGAATTTATAGGAAATACTGAGCTGCTTACAAAAGGTGTTTATTTGTTTTGGCTGGTTTTTTAGTGTACAGGATTCCTAGGTTGGCCGTTACTACTGGGAAATTAATTATATCCTCATTTGACTGTACATATCCTACCTGATGCAATCTTCTAAACTTTCAGTGCCCCCTCCCCTAACCCTTCCAATTTGCCTCCTGGAATTGGTAGTTTATTATCACCAAATAGAGACGCCGTGTTGAAAATAAATTTTTTTTTTCATTTTCTTGTCCTACCTGACTATTCCTCAGAAATCTGTTTCCCCGTAGTCCTTAAGTAATGATGTTTTTCACCCCACATCTTCAACCCCCCATTTAGAACCCTTTCCCCCATTTGCTGTTTCAGTCTGTTTCTTCCTCACTTAAAACCCTAGCTTTTCTGAAATACATACTATCGACTGTTATCCCCTTCCAGATCTGCCCTTACCTTCTAGTTATACCTCCTCATTAGTACCTGGCTCACTGCTTTTCCATAGTTCCTGTCATCATACTTAGTAATAGCTACATCCACATGGGTAATCTGACATCTGACCTCTCAGATTTCCCACCTTGGAAATCTATTCCCATGATCAAACCTTAAACTCTCTCATTGCTTAAAACTGCTTCACTTAGGAACTTTAAAAAAATATTGACCACCATCTACTACCTGGTTTCCTTATTCCTCAAAAAAAAATTTTTTAACTCCATTGGGTACTCCCGCCCATTAACCCATTTACTTTTCACTGTACTTCATTCATGCCCTTTTTTCCCTCTTTCTGTAGCTTGGAGCCCATGTTCCATTGATATAAGTGCTCTTTTGCATGTACCTCAGCTCCCTTATCTTTCTTTCCCTCTGTGGTACTTGCCTGACAGAACTTTGCTTAGATCTAGCTTTCTGTTATTCCACCATCACATCTACCAAACTACCTGTACCTGTACCCATATATGTTACCTTTCTGTTACGTTGGGTGAAATGCCTGGCCCTCCCTAAGACTGGTCCCTCCGTTTGAACGCTGGAGCTCATTCCTTCTTGTCTACCTAAAGGACTTAAAGGCTTAAGGCTTCTCGGTTGTCCATGGTCTCTTGCATCACCTTTCTATCTCTAATGTGTTATTTCAGTTTTTTTAAAAAAACACTCCTTAGATACATAACCCATAATCTTTTCTAGCTCCAACCTATTTCTTTCTTCCTCTTTATAGAAAAGCTCTTGGTTCTCCACTTTTTTTTTCTTTTCTAAACCTGTTGTTTCTATCCCTATCCAAATAGTTTTTGTACCCACCATTTTACCAGATGACTCTTGTCAAGGTTATTGATCTCTGTGTTCCAAATCCTTGGTTAATAATAATGCTCAGTCCTCATCTCAATTGCTCAGTAGCATTTGCCTCTCAGTCTCCTGAAATAATTTCTTCATTCAGCTCAGTCCATGGTTTTAAATGTCATCTTTATGTGGATACC